CACTATTCTACTTTCTACTCCTATGAGTTCAACTTTTTTAGCTTCCACACATGAGTGAGAACATACAATATTTATCTTTTTGTGCCTGGCTTATTTCACTTAACATAATATCCTCCAGGCTTATCATTGTGGCAACAAATGACAGAATTTCATTCTTTTTTATGACTATTGTGAATAGTGCTGCAATAAACATGGGGCTTCAGATATCTGACATAATTATTTCCTTTCCTCTGGATATATATCCAGTAGTGGTATTACTGGATCATATGGTAGTTCTAGTTTTAGATTTTTCAAGAACCTGCATACTGTTTTTCATAATGGCTGTACTAATTTACATTCCTCCCAAAAGTGTATGAGTTCCATTTTCTCTGCATCCTCACAAGCATTTGTTATTTTTTGTCTTCTTGGTAATAGCCACTCTAACTGGGGTGAGATGACATATCACTGTGGCTTTGATTTGCATTTTCCTAATAATGCAGGAGGTTGAGCATTTTTTCATATACCTGTTGGCTATCGTATGTGTTCTTTTCAGAAATGTCTATTCAGATCCTTTGTACATTTTTAACCATTTTTTTTTTTTTTACTGTTGAGTGAGTTTTTAATATATATTGGATATCAATCCCTTGTTATATGAATAGTTTGCAAATATTTTCTCCCATTCTGCAGGTTGTCTCTTCACTCTGTTGATTTTTTCCTTTGCTGTGCAAAAGCTTTGATGTCATCCCATTTGTCTAGTTTTGCTTTGCTTTTGTTGCCTATGCTTTTGAGGTCTTTTTCATAAAATCTTTTCACAGACCAATGTCCTGAAACATTTCCCCAATATTTTCTTTTAGTAGTTTCATAGTTTTGTGTCTTATATTTAAATTTTTAATCCATTTTGAGTTGATTTTTGTACACAGTGAGAGATAGGGGTCTAGCATCATTCTTCTGCATATGGATATCCAGTTTTCCCTGCACCATTTTTTGAAGAGACTGTCCTTTCTCCAGTGTATATTTTTAACAATTTGTAGATATCAGTTGTAATTTGGCAGATTTATTTCTGAGTTCCATATTCTGTTCCATTGGTCTGTGTCTCATGTACCATGTTGTTCTAGTTACTATAGCTTTGTACCATGTGTTGAAGTCAGGTAGTGTGATGCTTCCAGCTTTGTTCTTTTTGCTCAGGATTGCTTTCACTATTTGGTGTCTTCTATGTTTTCATTCAGATTTGGGGATTATTTTTTTACTATTTCTGTAAAGAATGTCATTGGAATTTTGATAGGGATTGTGTTAAATATACAGATTCCTTTGAGTAGTAGGGTCATTTTAACTATATTAGTTCTTTCAACCCATAAACACGAGATGTCTTTCCATTTACTTGTGTCCTCTTCAATTATTAATACTTCAGAAGTGCTTTACAGTTTTCATTATAGAGCTCTTTCACCTCTTTGGTTAACTTTATTCCTATGTATTTTATTCATATTTATGGCTATTGTAAATGAGATTGATTTCCTGATTTATTTTTTATCTAGTTAGTTTATGGTATATAGAAATGCTACTGATTTTTGTACGTTGAATTTATGCCCCATATGTCCTCTATTTGTTTCTCAGTTCTAAGAATTTTTTTTTTGTAGTCCTAGGGTTTGTCTATATATAAGATCATGTCATATGCACATAGGGCCAATTTGACTTCCTCCTTTATAATTTGGATGCATTTTATTTCATTCTCTTGCCTAATTGCTCTGGCTAGGACTTCTAGTTATATGCTGAATAAAGCAGTCCCCCTAAAAACTGGCACAAGATGAGGGTGCCCCCATCACCACTTCAATTCAACATAGTACTAGAAGTCCTAACCAGAGCAATCAAACAAGAGAAAGAGAGAAAGGGTATCCAAATTGGGAAAGAGGAGGTCAAACTATCATTTTTTGCTGACAATAGGATCTTGTATCTAGAAAATTACAAAGACTACACCAGGAGACTCCGGGAATTAATAAATAAATTCAGCAAAGTCTCAGGTTACAAAATCAATGTACACAAATCAGTAGCATTTCTATATGCCAATAACAGTAAAGCTGAGGGTCAAATAGAAGTCTCAGTACCATTTACAATAGCTACAAAGAAAATAAAAGACCTAGGACTATACTTAACCAAGGAGGTGAAAGATCTCTACAAGGAGAACTACAAAAGGGCAAGAAATCGCAGATGACACAAACAAGTGGAAAAATATATCATGCTCATGGATGGGTAAAATCAACGTTGTTAAAATGTCCATACTGCCCAAAGTGACTTACAAATTCAATGTGATCCCCACCAAAATACCAATGTCATATTTCACAGATCTAGAAAAAATAATTCTATGCTTCATTTGGACCAGAAAAGATCCCAAATAGCCAAAGCAATCTTAACAAAAGAATAAATCTGGAGGCATCCCATTACCAGACTTCAAACTACACTATAAAGCTATAGTAACCAAACAGCATGGTATTGGTACAAAAATAGAGACATAGACTGATGGAATGGAATCCATCAGAGAACCAAGATATAAAATAATCTACGTACAACCAACTGATCTTTGACAAAGCAGACAGCAACATACACTAGGGAAAATAAGCCCCATTCAATAAATGGTGCTGGGAAAATTGGATAGGCACATGCAGAAGGCACATGCAGAAAAATGAAACAGGACCGCTATCTCTCACCACTTAGAAAAATTAATTCAAGATGGATAAAAGACTTAAATATAAGGCATGAAACCATAAAAATTCCAGAAGAAATGTAGGAAAAATTCTTCTAGATATCAGCCTACACAAAGAATTTATGACTAAGACCCCAAAGGCAATTACAGCAACAACAAAAATAAATAAATGAGACTTTATTAAATTAAAAAGCATCAGCACAACTATGAAAATAATCAACACAGAAAATAACCTACAGAATGGAAGAAAATATTTGCAAAGTATACATCCAATAAAGGGCTAACGTCCAGAATCTACAAAGAATTCAAACAAATCAGCAAGAAAAACCAAACCACCTATTAAAAAGCGGGCAAAAGACATGAACAGAGGCTTTTCAAAGAAGGTAGACAAATGGCCAAAAAACATGAAAAAATGGTCAGTGTTACTAATAATCAGAGAAATGGAAATCAATACCAGAATTAGATACCACCTTGCCCCTGATAGAATAGCTTTTGTTAAAATGCACAAAAACAATAGATATTGGCATGGATACAAAGAGAAATGAACCCATATACATTGTTAGTGGGACTGCCAATTAGTGCAATCTCTATGGAAAACAGTGTGGAGATTCCTCAAAGAACTAAAAGTAAACCTGCCATTCGATCCAGCAATCCCATTACTGGGTATCTACCCAAAGGGAAAGAAGTTATTGTATCAAAAAGACACCTGCACTTGATTGTTTATTGCAGCACAATTCACAGTTGCAAGGATCAACCCTGGTGCTCGTCAGTTCATGAGTGGATTAACAAGATGTGGTGTGTATATACAATGCGTGTATATATGGTGTATATATCCAATTGCCTCCCATCCCCTAAGAGTAACTGTTGTAATTATTTTTTATTCTTAGGTTTATCCTTATATTGTTATTATCCATTTTTCTTCACTTTATCTTTTTCCTTAAATAACTTCATTGTAGTATTTATAGATAGCCATAATTCCTTTACAACTTCATAAATTCTCCAGTGGATGCAGCATAGTCTTTCAACCAATTCGTTATTGATAGACATTTAGATTACTACAATATTTACAATAAATCTCACTAAATAGTCTTATAGATGCATCACTTTGAGTTTATGCAGAGGGTCTCTGGGAGAGATTCCAAAAAGGCAAAGTATAAATGAATACATAATTTTCCTTAAATTATTAGTATCCATTCATAAGAGATGTGCCATTTTGCATTTCCACCAACAATGTATCAAAGTGTTTTTTGTTGTTGTTGTTGTTTTGAGACAGAGTCTCACTCTATAGCCCTGGCTAGAGTGCAGTGACGTCATTGTAACTCATTGCAACCTCAAACTCCTGGCCTCGAGTGATCATGCTGCCTCAGCCTCCCAAGTAGTTGGAACTACACATTCCACCACTCCCAGCTAATGTTTGTATTTTTTGTAGAGAGTTGCTCTTGATCAGGCTGGCCGGAAGTGTTTTTTATTCCCACAGCCTAGCCAACAGACTAGATTGCCAAATTTTTGGCTTTTTTTCCAATCTGGTAGATGAAAAATGGTATCTCAATATAGTTTAATTCGGATTTTTTTTTAATCTGTGAGTTTTAACTTCTATATCAAGCACTATTGTTTTTAAAAATTAGAATACTTGAAAACTATTTTGTGAAAGGTACAAAGAAAATCTATGATGTGTACATTTTAGTTAAATATGGGAAGTTTAACACAAGGTTCATCAGGATTGTGTTAAAATAATGTTATATAGGAAAATAAGATCGACATGATTCTGAAAATAACTTCCACATTTAAATATTTACATTTTATTAAAATGTCACAGAAACCATGCAAAAGAAGTAATCCTCATATTTATAAGCAATAATTTATTGTAATTATAAAGTTATTGATATAAACTTTTATAAAGTACTAAGATGTCTTGAGAAAGAAAGGATTATAAATTATCTTGTAACTTCAGAATCTGGGTGTTTTTCTGTAGGTAATTAAGAATTGATAAAATACAGGAGCCAAGTATATTGTACTTCATGTCATAGTTTATGACCAAAGCCAGTTTGAAGAAAACTGTCTTCGTCTAATAAGACCAAAGATGATGAGTTCTGGTCTTTACTCTTGGAATATTTGAGTTTTTCCTATTTTCCCTAATAGTGTTTCTAAATATATTTTAATACCTTATGTGGATTTAATTGCACAGATCCTAAGGCTATCTTAATCTGGCATCAACAATTTGTGTCCTCTTCAACAAAAATAATGTTTTCCTTGAAAGAGAAAATATTAAAGGATTCTGGAAAATGATTCCTGACAATTAATTCTTAGTTATTTTCTTTCCTTTCAGCACCATCCCTGATAGGTATGGTAAGGAAGGACTGGGCATCCCAAAATAGCATTGCCCTATCATGGCAAGCACCTGCTTTTTCCAATGGAGCCATTCTGGACTACGAGATCAAGTACTATGAGAAAGTAGGTCTTACTTGGAGCTTCCTAAAAAACTACATATATGTATATATTGAGCATGTCGTTATACTATATTATTTTATTTTAAAACCTGTTCTTTGGCCTAACCTCACACCTGCTGTTTCTTTGAAACCTCTCCAACTTACTATTGTGTCTATAATTTCTTAATTAATTTATCTTGTTTTATGTCAGATTAAACTAGAAGATGCAACATGTTCATCTCTTTCATGATCCACTCTAGGGAGTTTTATAATACAGTAAGAAATAATAATTCCTTTAACTTATAGTTTGATTGCCATGGAATTGTTTCTAAAATTCACTTGGGAAGAAATTTTAATATTGAATTACTATAACCTAAAGCAACTTTGATTAGCACATATCCTTTGCCAATGAGTTTAAAGTTACAGTACAATACAATTTGAAAAGTATGATTAAGGGATAAATGGACATAGCTTATGAATTAAACATTTTCTTTAATAATACATTCAGGTCAGCTATTTTATTTTATAAGAAGCTAACAAGAAAAATTAAGCTGATACAGCAACTGTTCACCCTCATTTCCATTTTTGTCTTTTAAAATTGTTCTCAATTATCATATTTCCTTAAATTATATACTTTCTTATGTTTATTGTATTATGTTCTTTCTTTATGCTTTTTACCCCTATTTCTTACCATTATGATATATTCTTGGCAACAATATCACAGTAGATCACATAGTCAATTCTGTAATCCTACTTCTAGAATATTGACAAAAGGGAGCAACAAATTTAAAAAATTAAATGCAAAAATCATATGTAATTTCCAGTGGTATACTACAATAAGAGAACACATCTTGCATTTCTATAACTTAATTTTACTAGAAACAAAGGATAATCATACACCCCTGTAATCCTAGCACTCTGGGAGTCTGAGGCAGGAGGATTACTTGAGGACAGGAATTCGAGATCAGCTTGAGTAAGAGTGACACCTTGTGTCTACCAAAAATAGAAAAAATTAACCAGGTGTGGTGGCACACACCTGTAGTTGCAGCTTCTCGGGAGGCTAAGGCAGGAGGATCACTTGAGCCCAGGAATTTGAGGTTGCAATGAGCTATGATGACACCACTGCACTTACCCAAGGAAACAGAGTGAGACTCTGTTTCAAAATTAAAAATAAAAAAGGAACATCATAAAGAAATTTAGGTTTCCTTTGAAGAAATATAAGGCAAGAGGAGAAATAGCATCCTAATATCTTAGTTTATTTTGTGCTGCTATAATGGAACACCATACACTGGGTTATTTATAATAAACAGAAAACTATTGGCTCATGGTTCTGGAGATTGGGAAGTCCAAGATAGAAGAACCAGCATCTGATGAGGAACATGTTGGTTTGTCATCCCATGGCTGAAGAGGAAAGAAAGAGTTAGAGAGGCAAAAGGCGCCCAAACTCATCGTTTTATGAGGAACCCACTCCTGTAATAATAAATCCACTCCCATGATAAAAGTATCAATCCATTCATGAGGACAGTGCCCTCATGGACTAATCATCTTTTAAAGGTTCCACCTATTAATACTATTGCAGAATAAATTAAATTTTAACATAAGCTTAGGAGGGGACAAACGTTCAAACTGTAACACCTGCCTTTCTTTATTCTACTGTTTCTCAGTAAATACAGGTTTGGTAAAGGGAAAGGTAACTTAGTAGCATAGCTGTAGTCATTTTTGGCATTGTAGTAATTTTAGCATTGTGTAGTCAATGAAAACTGTCATTATCATTAACTGACATGGATAAATCCATGGCCTAAGAAAGGAGAAATTTACTGAGTATAAATTGGATTACAGATTCTGCAAATTAGCCTGGCTAGTACGTGCTCAGAAATCCGTTGAGCTAGCCTTTCAAATGTTACAACCTGTAGCATGCTGTCACAAAAATTATATGTTTTCAGTCTACTAGTTTAAATAGATCTCTAGTGCTCAAAATTTATGATTATTTAAAAAGCAATGCACACAAATATGCAAGTCACTTTTCAGAATCCAAATATTTCTCTGTGTCTTATAAAGGTTACATTTAACATAAAGAAAAATTATTATCTCTTTTTATAGTCATTTATACCTTACATGTTTGAGTTTGAAATAATTTGCAATATTTCCAAGTAAGGACAAATCATACAGATTCAATAAAGAGGGAACTGTGGTCATCTAATCAAATTTGTAGAAATCAATAAGATCTAAACAATAGTAATTAACATAATATTCATGTTTATTCTTAGATGTGCAACATTTGGCATTATTATATAAATTCTGTTTTATTGATGGAATAGACAATGTTATGAAGGGGTTTACTTGGTAAGAAAATGGCAATAATCCAGTGGTAATGGACTAAACATGGAGGTAGAAGCCAGGGATTTCTAATTCATGTTCTGACTCTGACTCTCATTATGCTTGTGGCCAGGTAAAAGTCAATTAATCTTCCTATGTCTTAGACTTCACATTTATAAAGTGAAAATAAAGATATGAACCCTCTTGGTTGGTGGCAAAGATTAATTATAAACAGACCTAAAGATGAAAAGCACTAAATCAATATTAAAAATCATTTAAGCAAGCATTGGGGAAATATTTGGCAAATAATACAACATAGAATCAGAAAATAATAGCATGTGAATTATGTACAAACTAAATAATTATCCTTTCACACATAAATACACAATGTATGGGCAACCAATCAAAGACGTTAGAATATCAAAACCTTTCAGAGAGAATATAACATGATTGACAACATTAAAATTTGTTCCTACTATGACTTCAAATTCTAGCTATATATTTTACATATCTATATCTATCAAATGATTTCTCATTTCAAGCAAAAAAAATTATAATAACTTACAACTAGGGCAACTTACAATGAACTTCAGTTAAAAGTGCTAATTTCTTTCTTTATTAGGAATCTAAATATTATTCAGTAAGAAAAGCAAGATACAAAGAAGTATATATACATGTGATCCCATTGTGAGGACACAAATACTCCCTCCTGTGTGTTGTAGGGGAGAAGACATAATTTCTTTTCTTTCCCTTTTTAAGTTCTTAGTTGAGACACACAACTGAAACAAAAGTCAGATTAACAACAGCAACAAAAAGTAGTTCACTAATGTGTGCCATATCCATCATAAGGGAGGGGCCTCAGTTGAAAAGTATTTCTCTCTGAAGGCAGGAGCGTGGGGGCCTTGCTTCAAAAGTATTTTATTGAATAGGGCATCCTTTCCCCAGTGTATGTTTTTGTCTGCTTTGTCAAAAATTAGGCGATTGTAGCTATACAGTTTTATTTCTGGGTTCTCTATTCTTTTTCCATTGGTTTATGTTTCTACTAGAAAAAAATCGTATTTTAACAAAGAGCCATAAATCCTATATAGCGACAAGACAAAGAAGAGAGTTTCTTCAGACTTCCAAAAATGGGAAAACGTGGGAAAGTAATTTTGTAACAATAGTGAATTCTGCCCCTAGATCCTCTGGTGCCCACTGATGTCCCTGAGCTTTGTTTCGGAGCTGATAAGCTGCTATTATAAAGGAGTCCATCTTCAGGTGGGAAAGGCAGAGAGTAGGGGCAGAGTGCACCCCTGCATTTTAACCATCTTTTCTAGCTCAATAACCTCCAGTAATTTAGGGAGGACTATTTTGGTTTCCTTTGGCATATATTTTTGTATGATTATGTAAGTTTAGAGAAATATAGAACAGAATAGGATGCACACCAGGCTGTTTCAAGTGTTGCCTGTTTGGGAGGGTGGAGGCAGAGATGCTTGGACAGAAGCAGGGAAGAGAGAGGGAGGTAGCAAATACAGGTAAATATTAATATGGCTGGATGGATCCTAAATAGCTTTAGTATTTGTCTTTAGTAGTTGTCTTCCCAAAAGCAGACCCTGAGACAAGTATTTTTTGTACAAGTGATTAATTAAGAAAGCTCCTAGGAGTACTGGTAAGAGAATGGGATCAGAAAGATGGTGAAGGAAGGTGCCAATCAAAGTCAGTGTGACCAAGGGAAGCTCTGGATTCTAACTTACATCTCAGAGTTTATTTTATGGAGACAAAGAAGCTGGACTTCCCTACCTGGCTACAGGCATTACTGGAAGTTCACATATGTCATGCAGAAAAAAAATCTTAGGCACTTCTGGTTCTCTGTACATAGCTCCAGCAGCCCAAGTTTAGGTGTCCTATAGAAAGTCAGTTGCGGGTACAGCTTTAAAAGGCAAAACACACAGACAGAAGCTGGAGGATGGGAACAAGAACAGGTAAAAGTATTAATAATTCGAGCTGATATGCTAAAGCACCAACTATTAACTAAGATAGCTAAATGATTGAAAAACTACTAGAGAATTAGTCTTTGGCTCATGGTAATACTCATATTCTCTTCAGTCTTTAATATCAGTGCCATGGCATTTAAACCTTGCATTTCCTTTTAATCAAAGTTACTCTGTATTGCTATACCCATAATTAATCCACAAAGATCAATATTTATATCACTCTCTAAGGAATTTATGCTGTTTTTCTGAGTTTCTCATTGTTTTAAATGCATTATTCTGTAAATCAGGAAAAAAGTTAAGCTGCTTGGAATGTGAAGTGTCTACATATATCTGAGGTAAAACAACATGCTATTGTTACCAGTGACCTTTTCTCAGAGAATGTGATATATTAGAAAAAATCACTGGTCTGAGTGTTGAAAAATTTGAGTTGACTCCGACCTTAGTTTTCTTGGTTCCGTTTTCTCATCTGTAAAATAAGGATCTAGAAAGATAATCTCTTACAGTCCTAGCTACTTTCAAATGCTAATATGTTTGTTTTTATACTGTTATGTAGCTATATTATTCCATTGTTATTGCATCCATAACATAACTGTAGTTTTCCCTTTAAGTCTAGTAAAATGAAATACACACACATTTTAAAGAATACTTCACCACAGGCATCAGTATTCTTCATATCATAATTATATATAAAAATTAAGACTGTGTTATCATTGTCTTCTATGGAGGGGGGATGTCT